TGGCTGTCATTCACCATTGCATACTTTCAGTGACTTTATTCCACTGTTTTTACAGGGAAAAATAGTTTAAAAAGGTGGGTTTGCAATTTTCTTTTTTCTTCACCTGTTTTTGGTAAATAGGGACATTAGGGGTCCTCCAGTGTGCCAAGAGGGCCATGAATGGCTCTAATGATGTTTCAGGCATCCCAGGAGGAAAACTGCAGAATCCCAGAGGTAGGAAAAAAACATCTGAAGGTCATCTTGTCTAACTCCCTCTTGAGAGCAGGGTCACCTGGAGCAGGTTTCTCAGGCACATGATCAGTCAGGGCTTGAATATCCCCAAGACTGGGGACCCCAGAGCCCCTCTGTGCAACCTGTGCTGATATTTGATGACTCTCACCATAAAACAAACAAACAAAAATCCAATAAAACAAGCAAAAAAGCCACGCCAACCTCAAAACTAGCAGGGTTTCTTTTTCTTTTTTGAAGTGGAATTTCTCATGTTTCCATCTCTCTTGCCTCTTGTCCTGTCACTGAACAATACCAGGAAGAGTCTGACTCCATCATGTTTGCTTCTTTCCCTCAGATATTTATACACCTTAATACCAACACACCCTTCTCTTCTCCAGGGTGAACAGTCCCAGCTCCCTCAGCCTCTCCTCATGCAGGGACTGCTCCCATCCCTTAACCATCTTTATGTGGATTTGATCCAATATGTCCATGTCTCTCCTCCTTTCCCATTTTTTCCCAGTATTATCTGGAAAGAAATGCTCCAGGTCATGTCTTTCTCAGCCAATCTCAACTTTAAATATGAATAAATTGTCTGAAGTGCTGTTGTGGTTTAATTCCAGCTGGCAGATAAGTTCCTCGTAGCCACTCCCTCACCATCCCCAGCAGGTTGGTGGAAATGAAATGGATGAGTAAAAACGAGAAAGCTCGTGGGTTGAGATAAGAACAATTTAATGGTTGAGATGTAATAGTATAATAATAATAATAAACCTGTTTCTTCCATGCTGAAATCTCACCTTTCATTCCCACCACTAATGCTGCCCACCCAAGTGTCTCTGAATGGAGACTGATGGGTGTAGAGCTCTTAAATAATTTTGCCTGCATAGTTTTACTTGCCAATATCTTTCCCAGTCCAAGAGATAGGGACCAGCTCTTTGAGATTCTACATCCTGCTATTCTACTCATGGCATGATTGACTTCGACAGAATATACAAAGCAAGAAGTACTTGATTTCGTTAAAATACAAATTCATGCCCCTTTTAGTCTGGCTTAGATGTAGTTATTCTTTTATTTGTATTTCAGGGTATCTTTCAAGATAAAACTGTGATAAAATGTGTTCTCTTTTTTTTTTTTTCCTTCTGTGTCTAGTGTGTTGGGAAATGCTTGTTCCGATTTGTACAAACTGCCTTCACAGTAAATTGGACAAGTTTCCCTGAGGAGCAGTAGACAAAAGACTTGTGAAGTGCCATGGGGATGGGGAGGGAAATGCTTTTATTGCCAATCAAATTAAAGGCATTTAGATCTGCTCTTAAATTTTCCTGTAAATATATTACTGTGGGGTAAGAATCTGCCTTCAGAGCTGTGTGAATAAGGGATATTTCAATAGCTTGGTTGGATGAGGTGGGAGGTGGCTGCTGCTAAAAAGGTTGGTTAAGCTACAACAAAATATTTCGCTTTCAATTCTTTCTATTTTTTCTCCCTTACAAGGAGAAAAAAAAGCTTTAAAATGGAAACACATCCTGAAAATGATAAATCAACATCAAACACTCAGAGTGCTCTGAAAGCCCTCCTCTCCCCCTTTCACACCACTCTGTTGGAGGAAAAATAGAGACATTCACTGTTTGCCAAAACAACACTTGCCCAGTGTAATCAAGGTATTTTACAGCAGGGTGTAGACTTTCACTCCATGTTTGTTGTCTGTGGCCTTGGGGAAGTCATGGCAAGAAATATTTCCACTTGCTTATCTCTAAAGAGAGAGGGTGGGTCAGGAAAAATCTCTGCACAGAGGCTGTTTTCAAGCTGTTTGGTTGTCCCAAATACCTGCAGTGGTATTAAACTGTGGGAGATTAAGAAAATAATTCCTTATCTCTGCCCAAAGACTTCCTCATAATTGTCTTCCATGTGCCCATGTTTCCCCAGGTAAGAGTTATGCTGGATTTCGTGTTGCATTTTGTGGTGAAGGTTGTGTGGTTACTTCTGAGCTCACATGGGACCTGGGAGAGCTGAGATTTGTTCCCAAATCCATCACAGACTTCCCAACTGAATCTTCAACTGATCCTTGTGGGTTTTAGTGGTTGTGATCAAGAATTTCCACCAAGGCACCAGAGAATCAGAGAATGGTTTGGGTTGGAAAGGACCTTAAAGATCATCTCATTCCAACCCCTGCCATGGGCAGGGACACCTTCCACTATCCCAGGCTGCTCCAAGCCTTGTCCAACCTTTCCTTGAACACTTCCAGGGATGGGAGAGACACAACTTCCCTGGAAAACCTATTCCAGGGCCTCACCACCCTCTGAATATAAAATTTCTTCTAAATATCCAATCTAAACCTACTCTCTTTCAGTTCAAAGCCATTACTCTTTGTCCTCTCACTCCACGCCCTCCTAAAATGTCCCTCTCCACCTCTCTTGCAGTCCCTCATGAGTTGCTGGAAGTTGCTCTGAGGTCTCCTGGGAGAAGGTACAATTGTAGGGTGTATTTCCATGGAGCTTTCCATGGTTTTGCAGTTTTACAGGGCTGACAGGATGGATTGTTTTGCTGTTGAGTGTCTCGCAAACCCTTGATGTACGAGTTTGCTCCTTGGTTCCTCTTGTTTGCTCCATTTTCTGTCTCCTTGAAGCACACTCCAACACACACCCTCACCCTCTCTCTGGCTGCTCAGGCTCTCACAGCTTGGTTTCTGTAAGTTTGGGCTGAAGGTTGTTTCCCTAAAATGAAAGATTTCTGGCCTGGAGGCACCTGCAGCCTCGGATGCCAATTACGTGTGTACGTGGTACACTGAGGCTGGCTGGGCAAGCTGCACTCTGGATTTTCTCCACTTTTAATGGATTTAGCTCCTAACCACTGCTCTCTCAAGGCAATTGTACTTTCATCCCCTTTCATGTGTCTGGCCCAATTAAGGGAGCATGGTGAGTGATTTCTTTTGGTCCTGGAGTTTCGCTGTCTGGTAAATCTCAGCTCTGAGGTTTTATTTTTTTTTTTTTTTTTTTTCTTGGTTTTGAAACTCTGAAAGAAAAAAAGGAGAANTTTTTTTTTTTTTTTTTTTTTTTTGCTTGGTTTTGAAACTCTGAAAGAAAAAAAGGAGAATGAAGTACAACAGGTGCCTGAGGACATCAGGCTGTTCCTGGTACAGCACAGAACTGTGATTTTCTGGTGTTTTGCTTTCCATGGAGGACAAACCAAAGGAAAAGTTGCAAGTATCAGTGTGTCCTAAAAGAGACTTTAGCCCTTTCCTGAGATCCCTATCAATGAGGACATCATGTGACACATGGTCATGGGCCACAAAAAGTGGAGGCCATTCCCAGCTTTTTACATGTCAGAGGGAAAATGACTGGCCCAGAACATGAGCAATTTGAATATCCAGAAGGAAATTTGCATTCCAGAAGGAAGCATCACAGCTCATGTCATCCAGCCTAACACCCCAACACCTTTCTCAGTACAGGAAAGACATGGACCTGTTGGAACCCGAGGAGGCCACAAAAATGATCAGGGAGATGAACCAAGGTACTGTGAAGAAAGGCTGTACAGCTGGGGTTGTTCAGCCTGGAGAAGAGAAGGCTCTGGGGATTCCATGATGTGGCCTGTCAATATTTAGTGTAAGAAAGACAAGGACAGACTTTTTAGCAGCACCTGCAGTGATAGGACAATGGTTTTAAACTAAAAAAGTGTAGATACAGAATATATATAATGAAGAATTTTAGTTTGTAGTAAAGTGAGTAAAACACTGGACCAGGATGCTCCATCACTGAAAACATTTAAGGCCAAGGGGGTTGGACTTGATGACCTTTAAGGGTTCCTGCCAACCCAAACCATTCTGATTCTGCCATCAAAAGTGTTGCTATGTTTTTGGGATTGTAACCTTTTTTTGTGGTCAAAACACCAGTCTGGGGTGTTTTTTTCATAGCCTTGGTGTAAGAAAGCAGCAGCTGGGTATGGTCCTGTATAATTTCCCAGCTCATGCAGCACCTTTATCTCTTCTCTCCCTTTGCTGCCATCATCTCCATGCCTTTGAACTGAACTATTTTGATACCAAAGCCCTGGGACATTGTTGAAATGCTGGAGGATGTCTGGGTGAGGCATTTCTGTGGATGAGGAGGTGGGAAGGAGGAAGAAGTTGTCTTCCTCTGACTGCTGCATTTATTTCATTCTGCTGCTGCTACCTCAGTCCTTGAAGTTTTTGTTTTTGTTTTGGGGGTTTTTTTTTGCATTTTTGGGGGTTTTTGTTTGTTTGTTTGTTTGGGTTTTTTGGGGGTTTCTTTTTGTTGTTTTGGGGTTTTTTTTGGTTTTTTGGGTTTTTTTGGTTTTTTTAAGCAGGAAGGCAAAATAACTCTGGCTCCAATATTTCTACTGGAGGCCCAGGAGCTTATAGCAGCAAACTGTCTCTTTTGAGAGCTCATCAGAACTGCAGTGTGATGGATAGACTCCAGCCAGCTGTGTACTGGTAATGTTCCAGAAGACAGCATCACCTTTTTTTGATCGAGTGCTTAAGTCTTTGCCTTCCAGCTCAGGATCTCAAAGCACTTTGTGAACAGCGAGGAATTAAAAGTTGTCCTTTATCAGTGGAGAAAATAAGACACAGGGAGGTCAACTGACTTGCTTGCCCTCAAAATAATTTGTAGTCCAGAACACCTGGATTTTAGTGCTTTTAATTTTTTTGCAAGTGGGCATCTTGAAATTTGGAGGTTGCCCTGTATCTTTTATTTGCCTTCTTAGTTCTCTTTTTTTCTTAGGCTACTGGGGTTTAACTGGCTTTTAACAGGGCTGTGCCTGTGGTTTTTTCTGTGTTTTTTTAGGTTTGAAGTGTAATCCCGCATCCATCACTACCCAGAAAATGTCTTATGGATCCATTGATGGGAGTGGATTTGGGAGCAGGAACCCATTTGGAGGCCCTTCGAGACAAGGCTATCAACCTCTCGGTGAAGTATTGATTCCTTGCTCTAATTTATTCCACCTGACTCCCTGAGGACTGAAGTTTCACTTGCTCAGGTTCACTGTGGCTGCTGTGTAAATATCACCCTCACCAGGGGTCATTTCTGACATTGATTTTCAAAGGTGAAACCCAAACTTGTTCAGTTTGATTTGTGTGTTTGAGATACATCCTACCACGCTCAGGATTTGAGGCTGCAACATGGGAGAGCAGCACTAATGAGGGTTTTGGAGGAATTTTGGGGGACCAAAAGGAGAAATGAAGAGTATTCTTTAAAGTGTCTTGTGTCTTTTCTCATCTCCCCATCACCTTTACAAGAAGTTTCTCTCAATGGTTGTTCTGAGGGAGACTGATGGTGGGAGTAGATGGGAAGGAAGATGTACAAAATGCAGTGGGCTGTGCTTTCCCAAAGGATAACTTTGCTGTGGAAGCTTCTTGAATCTGGGAAACAGGCTTGGATGTGGCAAACAGGATCAAAAACTCACTGAGGAAATGCAGAAACCATAAACTGTGGCTTGCAAATGGCCATGGATTCTTTCTTTTTGTCATTTTTTTAAAGCAGAAGCCAGACCAGCTGTAGGGCTGATCTGGGCTTATCTAGTCTGGCTTTGAGCAAGTCTTTTTATCTGGAACATATCCTTCATTTTGTTCATTTTGGATCTGGCTTGCTCTTGTAACATGGCAAAGGGTTCTTTTCCTTTTTTTCACCAGGGGAGAATGTCACCCCTCCCTCCACTTGCCTTTGATTTCAGCTGGGCTATTCACTAACATAGCCTGATTTAGTTTTGAGGGTTGCAAATGTTCTTTGGGAAACATTTTTTTTTGTTTTGCAAATAGTGTTTCTCCCTGAATGGAAATATATATATATATATATGTATTTAAAAAAAATAGAGGTTTTTCTTGGGTTTCAGTCTTCTTACAAATTTGGGTTTTTGGGTTTAATTGTGAATATTTTTTTCTTTGAACAGGAAGAAGGTATTGAAGTAAGAGTTGTCCGTTCAGTTGTAATAGTGACTTTTAGGCTATTCTGCAAGACAAAATTAAAGGCATAAAAGCAAGGAAGAATGAGATACTTGGGCACAATCAAAGAAATGTTAAGAAAAGAGAATTGAAATGTGGACTAGACAAAAGATGAATCTCAGTGCATAGATTTTAAAAAAAATTATGTTGTGCTGTATGAAAGAACTTCTGTTTTTAATGCAAATTCACAGAATAACTCAAGATACTTGAAATCTCTAAATATTTGAAGAGATCCCTTATTGTGCCCAGCATGCCCATGGCTTGGCAGTTGGAGCTGTGATGCTGAAGCCACCCTTAGTGATGGCAAAGAGGAGCTGGTGTTGAAAATTCAGGTTTTTTTGAGACTGCCACGGTGTGTTGGCAGCCCAGCAGGGCCTGTTGATGCTCTGGATTATGATTTAGATTTAGTGCTGGTTTCCCCTCCAGGCTTGCTCACATCCTGTCCAGTGCCATTGCCATGGACACATCTCCAGGGTCCTCCAGCGTGGATTTTCACAGCCAGCCAAAATTGGTTGGTCCCTGTGGAAAAGATTGCAAGGGGAGGGATTTTTGCATTGGCCAAGGCACCTTGGAGAAGTTTCTTTTCTGTGTGTCTCAGTCAGAGGTGGGTTTGTTCAGCCCTAAGAAGGTTTAGGGGAGACCTTTTCATCATGTTCCAGCATTTAAAGGGTGGCTACAGATGAGATGAAGACTCTCTCTTCACATGGGAAAGATGTGGGGTTTTGGGTGGAAGTTTTTTACTCCTGGGGAGATTATCAGAGACTCAGACAAGAGGAAAATGTTTTGCAGTGAGAGCAATCAGCCTTTAGAATAATCTCCCCAGAGAAGTGGTGGATTCCTGAATGCTGGACAATTTTAAAGTTTAAATTTTAAAGTTCATCTGGATGGAGTGCTGGGCCATCCTGTGCAGGCTGTGCTTTTGCCAAGAAAGGTTGGATCAGATGATCCTTGGGGTTCCTTTCCAACTTGGCATTCCGTGGTTCTGTTCTGTGCTCATCTGAACCTGTGTCCCTTTGCCATGGAAGATGGACACATTGGATGCCTTTTGTCATAGCAGCCCCAAATGTTGCCATTAATTAAGTGCCAGGACAGGGTAATGCACCACTAATTATCTGCCTCCTGCTTCTGGACAATGGTTTGCTAAAGAAAAATTGCCTTTTGTATTAGATCATGGTGTGGCTGGAACAAAGGAGCATGGCCTTCCCACCAGCATTTTTATCTCTTCTCTCAGCAGGGACAAACCTCGATGGGAATGTTCTGTGTGTGCTTTTAAACCTCTCCTTCTCTTTGTAAATAATAAATAAATAAATAAAACCAGGTATCCCTGCAAATAAATGTCCAACAGTGGTCCACTGATAATATTCAATGTCCAACAGTGGTCCACTGATAATATTCAATATCCAACAGAAAACCCTGAGATAGAGAAGCAATAAAGGTGATGGGGGAGGAACTGCTTCATCTGTAATAAAGAGAGCAAAGACAAGGGGGCTGAGGTTTAGCTTGGTTTTGTTTAATGAGGGGTGATACTGCCATGGGGGTTTCCTCTGTGCTTATGCATCTGTTTGTCTTGGCTCCTGTTTCTTCCATCTCCAGCCAAATGTGCTGCCAGGATGGGAAAGTTTAATTATTTGAAGGTGATCCCCTTGGCTCTGGTCTGATGTGATGATGGATGGACTCAGAGCCCATCCTCAGGCCATGTGGAGGTTAACATTGCTGACCAGCCTAATCAGAGACATCCTCAGACTCCATCTGCAGAGTTTGGGGAGGATCCTGAGGCAGTGTTTTCAGCAGGTTGGTTTGCCCTGGACCCCTTGGTCTTGGAAAACTCTAGATCAGACTCTGTTTTTGACTGTGGTAATTCAGGAAAAAAAAAAAAAAAAAGAAGGTTTTTTTTGTTTATTTGTTTGTTTTGTTTTGTTTGTTTTTTGTTTGTTTTATTTGTTTTGGGCTTTTTTTGTTGTTGTTGTTTTTGCTTTTTTTTTTCCCCACTAGTATTACTGGTTTTTTTAATATTGGCAGGTTTTAGGAGGAGAGAGAGAAGCTCAGCAGAACTCAGATGCTCTGTGGCCTTAACCAAGGAGCAGCCTGAGGTGTCACAAGCAGGATCACCAGGATTTCCTGGAGCAGAGCACTTTGGGGGTTTGTCCCACTGAGGGACAGCCAGGTGGAGGCATAAGCCATGTCCCTGCTTTGCAGCTGGGAGTTACAACCTCCTCCACCAACTTCTGCTTTTCACATCCTCATTCTGATCCCCAAAATCATTGTGAACCCTCGTGTTCCCCTGTTTGCTTGTAGGAGCTTCTCTGGGCTTCCATCTGGTCGTTGATGTTTCATGGACAAATTAGAAAGCAGGTAGTAGAAAATTATTGGTTTGGTTTTGTTTTTTTTTGTTGTTTGTTTTGTTTTGTTTTGTTTTGTTTTTTCTTTTTGTTTTTAAGTGCAAACCTGAGAAATTGAAAAGATTGACTTCAAAAATACTATTTTTAAAGTAATGTGACATGTCTAAGATAAACAGAGCAAACACTGTGCAGCAGTAGGAATTAAACTCTGGATTTTTACTGTGTGCAACCTGCACTCTCTACCATGTTCAACTTACCTTCCCAAAACCATCTTTTTGTGGGGAAAATGAACAAAGCCTGCTTTACACAAGGAGGCATATAGGTCAGGGAATTTAAATAGCTTGGATTAAAATGCCACAAGACAGGAAATTTTTAACACTGCTTTTATTAACCTTACTGTAACCTGGACGTTAAATGCCAGCTCTGAAAAGGTAAGGTTAATTTTATATTCCAGAAGTGCATTGCTGCCAGGTGAGCTCAAGGGACTGATGGGTCAGTGCTTAATTTGGCTGTGACTTCATTGAGACCATTTTCCCCTCAGTTTCTCCTGAAGACTTTGTGTGAGACTCTGGCCAGAGTTGTACTCAAGATACCTCACATGTGAGTGTTTCTCCTGGTTGGATAAGGTTGGTTATCTTGGCACTGAACAAAATGAGATTGGTCTCTGCAAGTTGTCCTTGGCAGTGTTCTCTGGGTATAAATCACCTAATTATCATTTCAATGCTTAGCAATTGTTAAATGATTTTTTCTAACTTTTTTTTTTTTTTTTCCCTGGAATCAGGTCTATAATTTTCTTGGCAAAGCACCACATTCTCCCATCTCTACCTGCCTGCACCAACCAGCTCTTGGGTAGAAAGTCATGTGCAGTTCTGGCAGCGCTGTCACTGATTTATGGAATTGTTTAAATGGGAAAAGCCCTCTGAGATCCTCAAGTCTAACCATTAACCCAGCACTGCCAGGTCCACTCAGAACAGCTAAAGCATGTCCCCAAGTGCCACATTTGCAGGGATGGGGACTCAGCCACTTCCCTGGGCAGCCTGTTCCAGGGCTTGACAGCCCTTTCTCTGAAGACTTTTTCCCAAATATCCGATCCAAGCCTCCTCCTTACAGATGAACCACCCTTCTGTCCTCTCCAATCCTATTTTCCTCTTTTTCTAGCAGTTCAGGAAAGTGATTTGTCTTTCAAAACACAGCATGGAGCTCATGGTTGCCTCCAAGTTTGGCAGAGTCACAGAGCTCAAGTGCTCCATGGCAGGGAGATGTTCAGATGATTGTGACCCCTTTGGTGGGATGGGGCTGGCAGAAGCTCCGTTTTCTGGACAAAACTCACTCCAAAGCTCGGGTACAAACCAGCACCGTGGCCTGACCACCACATGGCCTCACTGCAGCCCCAGGTCTGGTGTCAAACCTGGGAAGGAATCCACTGCCAGCTCCACATCTCAGTACTGCAGAGGGCTGAAGCACAGAACAAACTCCTGAGTACACAGGGAGTGCCCCTGAGGTTCATTAACTCTGAGCAGGTGATTAATCCTGAGCACTGCTCTGCTTTTGCATTGGCTTCCTAAATTAATTCCAGTGCTTGGAATGCTTTGCTGAAGGGAATTTTAAACCTGTGGTCGTTGCAGTGAAA